CTGCAATTTACCTGTCACTTAAGCCAGCTGCAGCGATCAGGCACACCTCTACATGGAAAAAGAGCTTCTATTTTTGTGTCGTTTCACTCCTTTGAGCTAATTAAAGTGCCATATTGAATTCCCAGACAGATGCAGATTAAAGATGAGGCACTTTGGAAAATATATGCAGAAATAACTACTCAAAATACTACAAAATAGGGGAGGGTAATATTGACAAAACTTAATATCAATGTTTTTGTTTGTTGCAGAAAAATAACTAAGTGTAGAAAAATCACTGTACCCATATTTCGAAGTTTACAACATTTTTCTCTTTTACACAGCATTTTTAATTATAAACAATACACTCAAAATTTTTATTTTGCATATCTTCAAACAACGATTTTGTCAATATTTTGATAATATGACCACCTTCACTACCAAGTGTCTGCCTGTAATAAACCAGAGTAACTTGTTGACCAGTTGGGAGAGCTGTTAACAGGTTGCGTTCTCTCTGGAGGGCAGTAAACACAGATGCCTTCAGGATATCGAGTCGAGACGCACTCCCCAGCACCTTGATTTGATTTGTATTGTGAACCTTTCTCATCTGCTATACTGAAAAATATCCTTATGTGGCATCTGGCACTCTTTTTCTTTGCTATAACCCTCTCAGAGAAGCTAAATTCATCTGCCCCAAACCAAAGTCTAGGGAACAAGTCCTGCAGCTATTGCTTTGCCCCATACCAAAAAAGCCATAATGCTCCTTTAAATCTTCTTGGACCAGACTGAGAGCAGCACTAAAGTGGACCAGTCCCAACACAGTCAACAGGAGTAATAGTAGAGATGTTGAGATGCTATCAGTTCATCACTGGCTGCCAGCACACTGAGCCTCTCCTTGCATTGTTTCCTACAAGCGAATGCCCAGGAAACAAACACATGGCTCACACTGGCGCTTTACACAAGTCTTTGATACGTCCCTTAATCTCCACTTAACTATCTCCACTGGTTTTAACATCCTTACGCATTAGCCTATGTCTTATAACTTAAGAGTTTATCATTGCAGTGCTAAATATAGACACCCTTTTTCTGAGACTCAAAGGCAGCTTGGAATGGAAAGGAGCGTGCTAAATTATAAACCTTCTTCGAACATAACAAAAGGATATGAAAAAATGTGCATTGTTTTATGATTCTCTTTAAGATTCATCCATAGCAGATTAAAACTCTTGTGCATATAGTAGAGATATCTTTGAGCGGATGGGAGATTTAAATTAAAGAAAACTTTTTCCTGAGGATCAAGTGCTTACAAATAAGTGGCCTAAACAAGAGCATGCATAGAGCTTCTGATCCACTTTCCCGTCTTTCTCTCTGGCATTTTTTTTTTTAAATCAAACAAACTCGCTTCCCTTTGCATCCTGGGAGAGTTGTCCTTTTCATTCTGATAGGAGTCCACCTGTCCGGCCATCCCCTGTGGGCTCCTGTGTTAAATTCCAAACTTAAAACCCATTACTGAGCTATCAGCCTGCTCATAATGCTGTCTAACCACCTCATTTCCCTAAGTGTCAGCCCCTGTCCATCACCGGGGGGGCTCAGTCAGTCAGGTCTGCCCTGTGTGTGTATGTGTCCAAGAGTGTCCCATCACCACTGCTGTCCCCCCTCTGTCTTCACCTCCTCCTCCAGCCCGCCCCTGTCCTCCCATCAGAAGCAGGATACAACGCTCAATCTGTGAAAATATGTCAAGGCTAAAGTGACTGGGGACACAGGGGGTAAGAGACTTTGGAATGAAAGTGCTGGGTATTTCATTTACCATATCCACTCTATTAGGCAGAGCGGCGCAGTCAATCAAGGACCCACCGTTTTTGGAGACGAGGGGAGCGAATTGGGACACACGGGCAAATGGCTAACGGTCATGGCATGGATATACCAGCCACTGCCCCTAGACCAGTTTGAAGAGTTGTAAAAATTGATTATTACATCGGATGTCCTTGTTAAGGGGAGAGCGCAACTGAGCATGTGCAGGAAAGCAAAGTAAGCCATTATAAGCTGGAGGTGTGAATGCAGGTGCGATGTAGTGTCTGCTAAGGCCCTCTTCACCCTGTTCGGATATCCCTGCGTACCTCTCTGTGAAATGATTTGGTAAATATGGAAAGGGGCCCCTAGGCCACGCAGGCCCGGGCCCCTCTTTAGGACTGGATAATTGACTCCTTTCCTTTCCTTGATAATTCATAGCTTGCATATGCCAGCTAATACATCAGCTGCAAACTGCTTGGGCCCCCATGGTCTCCCCAGACACCCGCACACACAGGACCCAGAGGAATGAGCATCATAGTGGTCAGAAAAAATGGAGATGACAAATGGAAGCACATCTAGATCTATGAATGAATTATGTCTTCTAAATACCTTGAGTAGAGGCAACTGTCAGACGTCGACTATACTAATCTGGGACAAAATATGACCAACTCCGCATTAAAAAAGCAGGGAGCAGCGCTATGAGAGAATGAGGCGAGAAATGAACAAGCAATCAGGCCATTAAATTGAGGTGTCTGATTCAGCTTTGGTGGACATTTGCACATCTATCATCTGATGGAAATATGCTCCTCCTCCCCCGCCTTGTCATTTTAATGCAGGGCCCTCCATTGAAATAGATTAGGATTAGACCAACTGAACAGAGATATCATTAGTTTTACAATAGCCAAGTCAGCACTCGTGAACAGCCATTAGGAATGAAACAGAATGCAACTGTATACATGTTGTAAAGTTATAAGCTCTTATAGTCAGAAAAACTTGACAGTTGTTAAAGAATGTTTAATACACTTTAAAAAATATATATGTATGGAAATGGAGATGTTAAGTTTTTTTTTTTATTAGTATGGAAAAATACATAAATTACTGTTAAAATATGGTCATATTTTTGTTATTCTACATGTAAATTATACTTTAAAATTTGCTTCCTATTTTCACCTGTAATTTTGATATTATCTACAATATATATTTTTTGAAAAGTACATTTTAGTCAACAATTATTAACAGACTCGCTTTTCACTTAGGAAAAACAAACAGACCACGTAATTATGCTTTACACAGATTTTTAATACCTTTACTTCAAAATATTATATTGTAGAGCTGCAGTAAAGTGTGTGAAGGAAAAGAGAGGAAATGTTTGGGGTCAGTTGGCTGCAGATGATTGTGTTCAAACTGAGGTCAAAGACATGCTAACCTTGCTATTGTTCTATCTGCTGGTTATCTGCTGTGTTATGTGCTACCTTTGGGAAATGTATTTTCCAGGCTGAGGTGGAGATGACCTGGTGGTGGTTTGAGGCCATTGGAGGATCACTGCATCCCTCTGAAAGGCAAAGCTCGGCACAAGGACGGGGATAGGACTGTACAAGACAACTCTCGGCATTCGGCATCAAGATATGATTGGGTTTAAACTTCAGTATAACATCAGACCAGGTCTTATGAGTATATATGAGCATGTTGATCTTAAAATGTTTCGTAGTTTACCAAAATTAGCACAGTATTCAGACTTAACAAAACCACTGGATGTATAATTTTAGGGGGAAAAAGTTTTGTGATAATTAAACCTTTAATGTTTTTAAATCTAGATTCAGTTCACAGTATGCATTTTAAACATTGGATAGCATTAACATTAGAGAGCAGTCTGAACTACTAAACTAATGTAAAAACAAACAAACAAAAATCATAATCTCTATAAAATCTAACCTTATGTCACTTACAGAGGACATTTATCACCAAAGTAACTACAACCTTTGTGATTTGATAACTGTGAAATAGCAATTTAAGTTTGATTGCAAATAATGTCGCTGCTCTAATTCTCATTTTTGGGGGGACTGGGAGTCATATTTTTTGCTGTACGTTATGACCATTTATTTGTTTATTTGACTTTTAGTACGATTTGATTGTAAATCAGTTATAACCCTTATTAGACGGATCAGTTAAAATGTAATACAGAGGGTGTATCTCATCACTGTTTTGAGTCATTTGTTCAACCATAATGTAACTATTATTACCATAATTTATCTTGTTAATACTGGTTAGGTTAGAGCTAAACTGAACTTACTGTTACACATTGATATCAAGAAAGCTCATTAATAATTAAGTCTCACGCTAGAATTTTGTAAAATACAATTACTAAGAAATATATTAAATTGCATATTGCCAAATTAGATTGAATATTGTGGAGCGAATGAACGCTGCACTTTCGATCTTAAGAATAAGACTGCCATCTAGTGTTTGCTTACAGTACTTCAAAGAAATTATATTATTGATTAGACATTATTTAATAGATATACTCTTGTGTGTTTTTTTCTTTTTTGTATATTTTTGTGTATTTAAGTATTTTAAGTCTGTTGTATTTCAGTTGATACAGTGTTGAATGCATTATCTTAACCACAAGGTAAAACAAATTATGGGCATCAGAATAATAACATTAGAACAGATAATCATAAATATAATCATAAATATCATACAGATAATCATAAATAAAATATTATCTAAGAATCTGTTGAATATTTATTTTATTTGAGATGAGAACCATTTGCAAATTATTGTTTTGCCTCAGCTGACTAGACTAACTTGACCCAACATCCTCCATAATCTTTTTCTATAGAGAAAAATAAATCCTTGTAAATTACTATATGATTATATACAGTCATAGATCGTAGGCACCTTGTTATAATTTAATTTAGTTTGCTTTTCATAAAATTATACACTGTTCAGAATATTATTGCCGTAATAATGTCACTGTGCTTGAGTTGTGCCCATTTTGTTGTTGTATTTTTGGCACAAAGAGAGAATAGCCCCATTACAGGCATAGAATTCTTTATTTCAAATATCACACCTGCTCTGAAAGGAACAGGGCCATAGTCCACATAAACTCACTCCTTTTTTGTGTGGACACCCTTAATGGGAAAATAAAATAGGTTATTCTTCAAATTTACTGTAAAATGTATTTATTTTTATTTCCAATGTTTTCAAAAATGTTTTCCATTCATCCATTTCCCCAGAGCAGCATGACCTTGTTACTAGTTAGTTTTAAATTAGCCCAGGTTGCCAAGACATCTCATTCTTTTTTCTTTTTTTTTTTTTTTACACACATTAGTCATGACTTTTATGAATCTCAATGCAATCATTCATGAAGCCACAGGCACAAAGAGACAGTAAACTGTAATACAGTAACATAACAGAACTAGCATCAGTGTAACTGGTGGAACACAATACTGTTTTTGCACAGCACATGTAAACAGTGGGCTGGCCTCTATGCCAAGTCAGATGGAAACATGTAGAAGGAGCATGTTTGCATTGCAGTGGCTGGTGGTTCTCAGATAAGAATAGCCTATCTCCTTTTTTACTTCACCTTATACCAATAAACTCTGTCTTTGAATCTGTTAATGATTAAATCGTGCCTGAGCAGCATAGGGAATGAAAATTACATTTGTAAAACCAAGTTTAGATACTGAAAGCACTGTACATTCATTAGATTTCATGCCAAGACAAAACAATATCAAATATTAAACTAAGATAATAAGAATAATTCTGCTTGACTGTGCAACAGTGACCACACAAACTGTGCAACAAATTGTTATTTACATCTTCAGAGATGAAAGACAACAGAAGATACATGTCCATCCTGTAGTGCTTCATGATGTCACCTGGAGGTCAAGTTCCCTCTATGCTCTCACCTAGAGCCACGTGTAGACTGACACCACCCTGACAGGGGAGGGGGACACTGTTGGTCCCCTGGCTGGAGTTAGACTTGTGAGAGGAGGCCGGAGAGTTAGTTGGACTAAGCTGGACAGCTGTAGTGTCCTGCAGTGTGTGCTCACTGGTCTCCATCTCAAAGGCCACAGTCCCCATTCGCATCAGCCCCCACTTTTCTCCCCCCTTGGCTTGGTTAGTGGTGTGGGCTGGGGGCCTCCTGCTGACCACGCAACAGCCAGTAAAGAAGCCCAGGGCCAGTAATAAAAGCAGAGGTCCGATGATGATAGGTGGGTTACCCGAGGGCATGAAGGTGCCAAAGGCGAAGGCCCCCACCAAAGTGATGTTAATGCCAGCCAACAAGATACACAGACCACACGCGCAGCACAGAGCCGGCGAGGGCAGGCTCTGTCTCCACTTGGTGGGCTGCCTGGGCACCTTAGGTTGTTTGGAGCTTTTATCAGGAGGCACCATGATGTATAAACAGCTTAGTGGAATCCATAAAGGGTGAAGAGAAAACTCAAAAACCTAAACAGAGGAATAACATTTTCAAATTAACCCTTATTTACACTTATGTATGAAAACAAAATATCTTAATTCGCAGGCTTACTCTACTGAATTAAAATGATAAACACAACCTGATTTGCTACGACTTACAGACACGTGTTTGAGCATCTTGACCAAAATACTTTAAGCTGCGCGCATCAGTTATGATGAATGATATACTTACAGTGTTAGTCCTGTGGTAGTTCTTTCACGCTTGTTGATCCGGTTGTGCCGAAGTTGCCACTCACCTCGCTCAGATGCAGACAGTGAATCTACGGCTGCGAGTCTCATCATCGTTACAAAGTGCAATTCACCACTGGGGGGCGCCCAATGGATACTATGATTTAATTGGCTAGCTACAGTAATAGTAGTGACAGAAGAAAGTAGTGAAAATAATATATTTGAATTTGCAGCAAAACATATTTTAAAGTCAGAAAATTTGAGTGTTTTTCTTTTTTTTATTATTGAGAACACAGCATACCAGTGAAAACAGGCCAGCATATATGTTAGCTTTATGCATAGATATTATGTAAAAACCAATGCAGGCCTTTGTAATTGCATACCAGTTACTGCTTCTTGATGCCATTGCAGTATAAAGGGAAGCACAAATCTGCTTTTATGATTCATTACAGCAGACAGGGGATTTAACGCAACAAGTGCTGGTTTCCTCATGTGTTTATTCACTCTGAGCAAATCTTGTACAATTCCTCCAGCCAACGAAGGCCCTTTGTTGCTATAGGGATGAGGTGTCCATGGCAACTATGAGCAATCAGGGAATTGTCATTTTGAGGTTAAGACTGAAAAAAATCAAATTAAAAAAACTGTAAAAAATATTTCTCATTAAGGTAAATCCTAAAATATGAAAAATAAAATCAGTTAACATTTATGGACTCAAAAAAAAAAAAAATAATAATAATAATAAATAAAAACTTTAGCCTATCCACCATTCACTTACTTCCCTTTCACTTTACCAAAATCATAAAAAACAAATCCCAAAACATTCATACTCATAAAAATGAAATCACACGGCTTTTGATCAGCTTACTTTGTACAGTAACACATGTTCAGACATTACTTTGAGGTAAAACACTATCCTTAATCCCAGATAAATATCCAGTATTGCACATGCACATCATATATACCAGAATATTCATCATTTAAAAAAAAAAAATCTTACTTTAAAGTACTCAAGTGCAACCTGTAAAAGTAAAACTGTTTCAGCAACCAGCCTCATCAAAACCATTAATTCGTACATAATAAATAAACACCTTTCACAAACCTTTTCAGTAAAAGCTATGAATCATTTACATAAAATTCCCAATTAAAGCAATAGAAATAAATAAAATAAAAACAGTAACCCTGACTATAATAAAAAAGTAATGCTATAACGGGTCTGATTTTGAAAATGTAAATATTATAAAATGTAGCTTTGTTCAAATACTTTAAAATCATCAATACTGTTTCTGTATCTGTTAGTTTTGACCTAAATTAAGAGGCAATGGTCAAAGATTAACTGTTCCCTTGCTTTTACTCTCATCCAGGAAATGAGATTACTGGCCATGGAAAAGAGCTTTACCACCAGGAACAGTTACTCAGTAATAACATGATTTAAGGCCCCCAATGGAAATACTAAAACACATAAAAGGTGGGAAGGAAACCAGAGTTTACAGATCAGATCTGTGTGGGCCAGTTAGCCTGCAAGGTCATCTGAAGCAGGTGCAAAGTCCTTGGTGCGCAGGGCACTGGACTGGGCCCGCCTGCGGGCGAGTCTGGAGTTGGAGGGAGGGGACAGCCTCATGGAGCACACGATGGCTTCTATGTCTTCTTGTTTCTCATCGTGCTGGGACAGCTGCCTGTTGAAGGCAATGGCTTCTGCTGCAAACTGGGTCAAGTCTTTGGTGCTGCTGTTCCTACAAAAAGAGAAACTTAATTTCAGTTTAAATTCAGATATAATGAAAATAATACAGACACTGCATACCTTTGTAATACATGAGGAGTTGGAAGACCTCTCTCTGGAGCATTCTGTAGAAAATAAAGAGTTTATGAGCTTTTCAAATAACTCCAAAGAACAGGCAATTCTTTCATGTGAGTAATCAAACTTACTCCCTGTACCCAAGGGTGCATGAGGACCTGAGCAGCACTAAGTCGAAGAGTTGCATCGCGTACCAGCAGTTTTGATATGAGATCCTTAGCACCTTCTGTAATGTGGGACCAGTCCTTATCTGGAAACTCGTACTTTCCCTGTTGAATGCTCTCAAACAGGTTGCTCTATACAGACAAAAGTGCCTTCAGTGCAGTGCAGTAAATATACTATGTTATGCAGATCATTAGACCTAAAGGAATCAATATGGATTTAAAAAACACACCTGGCATGTTCGGCAGGTCTCTCCGCGGTCCCAGCCACAGTCACTGCCACAGTGCCCAATGAATGGAGGACTTCCACTTAAAAGAATGTAGAGGATAACACCAAGACTCCATAAGTCACAGCGCTTGTCATAGAAAGAGGCTTCATCAGTGAACACCTCTACTACCTCTGGGGCCATGTACTCTGCTGAGCCACACTAACACACCACAAACATACATAAATATAAATCATCTTCAAATACAGCAGTTGTGCTGCAGTTTGTAGTTGTTCAAGTGCTCACTGGTGTAGTAAGTTCTGGAGTAGTTATGGGGGTACAAGCACTGCTGAGTTTCACTCCACTCCCAAGGTCGAAGTCGCATATCTTCACTGGAGAAACCTTTACAAAATACACATTTAAGATAAATGTACCATAGTAACTAAAATATTCATTATAAAATTAATTGTACAGAACTGTACCCTATCTGTGTATTCACAAAGTATATTTTCTAACTTGAGGTCTCTATGAGCAATGCCTGTACAAAAAGAAATGGTTAAACACAAACCAGCACAATAACACAATCGCTTAACTTAAACTGAACTTGCCTTTAGTGTGAAGGAAGTTAAGCGCTTGAGCAAT